TGATTATATTAAAAGAGCCGGCATAGCGAAGAGTTTATACGGAGAATTACCATGAAAGTATTTATAGAAAAAAAGCACAAGGGAGACAACTTTACGACGGTGGGAATGTGACTGAAGCGGAGATGCCAGATCAGGACCCATAATATTGCTGATTTTCCTTTAGATTTTAACAAGATCTATAGATATATGACGGAAGCACCAGACCATATACTGCAGCAATATTCTAATCCTGGACAAATGGTAGACTTATAGATATGTTAGATAGATTCAGAAGAGAAAGATTGTCTAGCGCGATACAGTGAGCCATATTTCTTTACAGTTCACATGGCAATGCGTTTGTAAGCAATTGGAGGTTTACGATTATTTGCCTTATCGTTTTTACACAAATGTTTTGCCTTTTTTTTGTTTTTATTATTACTATATCATTTTTCAAAATTATATCTTATTAATTTTCAATCTGTTATTTATATAACGATATCAGCTTAAATAATTATGAAATATAAAATAATTTTACAATATTTTGAAAAAAAATTTAGAACGTCAGAATATATTTGAGGAAGAAACTACTAGTCGAAATGATGTCACGGATCCTATCAAAATAAAGAAGTTAGAATTTCAAATATCCGATATATATATCCTACTTACATCTAGGCGATGACTCCACTATCAACCGTACTGACGTCACTCACAGCACACATCAGTGACAAGTTTATAGCAACACTTTATAATAATTACCATTGTGTATTTATTTATTTCGTGTCACGATCTATAGTGAGGAGGGAGGTAAATGAACTTAAGGTAGTAAATTTATGAGTGGTCAATTTATTCAGACATTTTAATAATCATCAGCACTGTATAATAATTATCGATGTGTATTTATTTATTTATTTCGGGTCAAGCTCTATATACAGTGTAACCCGGATATAAGAGACCGGGATATGAGAGAAACCCGGATATAAGAGAGATTTTCTCTGGTCTCAAATTAGAGCCTGTGTTAATGTATATAAAACAGACCAAACCCGGATATAAGAGAAACCCGGATATAAGAGACTTCTTCTCCGGTCCCGACAACTCTCTTATATCCGGGTTACATTGTAATTCTATTAATGAATCTCGATGTCAATCATTTTCTCATGTTGGTGACTATTTACCTCAACGTTTGTTCATAGACGTATTATTTTGATCTCAGTAGAACTAAAAATAATAATAAAACCCCCTCTAAATAAGCATCGGAAGTAAAAAAAAACCCAAGGTTGTTTTTTTTTTGTTTTTTTGGTTGTTTAACGGTATATCAACTTCTTATGGGTTATTTATTGCTTTTTTTTTTCAATAAAATGTATTGCTGGTATTTTTCCAAAAATGAATAGCGATTAAGTTTTAATTTTGATTTTATTTACTATTAAAATGCATTTCTAGTATATTTTTTTTTCTAATTTAATTTCATACTTTGATGTTTTGTCTCCAGTTAGGAGTTTAACAATTTGCCCATAGCTGGGTCCATACTAGATGCTATCATCCTGGGTCAGGGTGAACCTGGGAACAACAGCAATTAAAAGGTTGTTCCACGGTTTCTCAAACCCTCCAGATTGCTGCCGGATATATTGTATCGTCATACACAGAACGAGACAACAAAGGCAATCCTCTTAAAGAGACTTTACAAGAAACGTACTGAAAAGGAAATAATAGACTAAAGAGATTATTAGTAGCTCTTGTTTAATTTGGAGTTCTGAAATGACTTCTGATATCTGCCACAGTGCTTCCATTGTAGCAATTTGATATAAAAAGTAAAGAGAACAATGGTGATAATTTAAAAAAAAAATTATTACACATTGACGTCTGTTTAAGATGTGAATTCAGAATGTTCGTTCTGTAATATAGCAAAATATATGGAATTGATATGTTTGATCTCTATCTTTAAAACGCATAATGTGTGTGTGTGTGTGTGTAACGAATGCATGGCCGCAATTTCCGACAGATTTGCACCCAAATTTATATCCACGTGCTCCAAGTTAGTGGAAAGACCCAGAGCGACGTTGCATTTCCCAACTCCCATCGATAGTGGAAATAATCGATTTTTTTCATGCTTCTACGGCAGTTTTCATGTAGTTTTCGACCATCTTCTACTGGCCAGAGTGAGAGCCTATAGATGGCTGCCACGAATAGGCAGGAAAATTCTATTGGCCAGCGTGAGAGCCAACAGCTGACTGACACGAATGTTAACTAGCATGTAAAAAAAAATCGATAGCTGCATTCGTCACAAGTGGGAAAAATTTAAATCTGCATGGCACTTTACTCCAATTGGCTCATTCGCTTGCTTAAACTCAACGTTGATTCTGATTCCGCAGAACTGGGTTGGGTGTGAAAAAGTATTTGTTGTTAACATTCTCTTTTCATTCGGTTTTTCCAGTTACGAGAGCATTTTTTAAAGCTGATCGTTTTGTATTCATTTTGTTTAGTTCTTTTTTCGTAACAGATTTAATGTTTAGTATAGAGCTTAGAAAAAATTCGCAGTGTGAGATAGGCAAGAAGTCAGGCATGTAACAACATCAGCACAGCAAAGGGAGCTCGTTTAAAGGCAAATAAGGTCAAAAATATTTTAAGTCAAGTGATAGCGATTGCTGTATGAGTCGTACGATTTTTGAATCAATCACGGGCAACGCCGGGCCATGCTGCTAGTATATATTAAATGTCATATAACAAAACAACTCTTCAAGAAACGTAGTATTGCAATAGCAAATAAACGATTTATTGTGCTCTATTTTAGTTGTGAATTGGGCATCTGTATTTTATTGAATCTCAATGCATTGCACTATTTATATGCTTCGAACACATCTTTTTGGCCATATTCACGAAATTTCGGCCGTTGTGCGCTCCGGCCTTCTTAAGGTGATTTGAATTTCGAACTGAACCCTTTATTTCGTCCGGGTTAGATTGTTTTAGTTCTACGAGTCATGCGTCTTCCTGAAGAAGTCCGGAGCGTACAACAACCTAAACGTCGTGAATATGGGGAAAAATAGGGACGCCTGTTTGAAGAATGTAAATAGTCTAAATAATTTCAATACCTTATCTCAGAAATACGAACAGGCACTCACTCCATTGTTTAAAAATTTTTGTTTCATATCATCTCACTTCCGGTCTCTTGATTCCCAGTCAACCTTGATATTCAATGTCTTCTTAACTCCTGGTCTTTTATTCTTCTCTCTCTTAAATAATACTTTTTTCTCATATTCTCTCACTCTTAGTAACCCATTGTGTCTTAGTGGCTTTATTGCCTTGCTTAGTGTTAAATAATTTATAAATATCTTAATATTAAAACTTTGTAACCGTTGCCGCCATTTTGAGGGCACGGATACACTAGTTTTATTAATAATTTCTGGCTTGTTTTGCAGTGACAGAAATATCTCTGTCTAAGAATCTTTTTCTGTTTTAAATCCGCATTGTTTTAATACATTAAAGTCATATAAATCCGTTATGATTTTTTTTCTTGAATTAGATATATCATTGTGTTATAAAGGATTTTGTGCTGTTTTAATTTCTAAGGAACATCACTGGGAAATGTTAACGTGGTTAACTTGCAGGTATGGAAACTTGAAGTGGAGCATCAAAAATATTTCTATTTCATCAATAGAATCAGACATTTGGTTCAGACAGTTTTATGGCAAAAGAAAAATAATCGACCGAATAAAAAAAACTTTCGAAAATTATATCAACGACGTCTCTTTAGAAAATGGCCGATGGACACAATAGGAACAGAGGAAAAGAATTAATAATAATTTTTTTTATCTTATGGTTTACTTATCATTATTTTGTTTAAATTTGGAATATTAAAACCAAAAAAATTGTTATTAGAATATATAAGATAAATTATTCCATATATTCTGTAAGCAACTTTCGGACGATATCATCTTCAGCCTTAAAATAACACAGTGTTATTCAAGGAGCAGATTTCGAAAATTTAATAAAACCAAATGCTAAGAGACAGAAATACATTCAACACATTACTTGATAAGAAAAGGTTCAAAATTATTAAATTAAAGTAAGTGTATTGAAGTGTTATGCAATATCGGTCGACCTATATGGCAGGGAATGATGGGAAATCTCTGCACAGATGTAGAAAAGACTAAAGAGAGAGAAATCTGGTTTTACAGAAGGATTATGAGAATGCCACGGACCGGAAAACGATGAAGTTTTAGATAAAATGGAAACAAAAAGGACAGTTATAATTCACACCAGGAAGAGACAGTTGAAATTTCTCGTGCAAATAATTGAGGAAAGAATGCTTGGAAAATTTCATACTCACGTGACAGATTGAAGGCAAGAGAAACAGAAGAAAACAATACGTAAGCAACCTAGAGAGCTTGAGTAAATAGATAACAAAAATTAAATTTAATAAAATCTACAAAAGAGAGGAAATGTGGAGAGCCATGATCGCCAACGTGTTGAACAGTCATGAAACATAGAAGAAGATTATTCGATATATCTTTGAACTAGGATCTTCATTTTTCTTTTTTTTTAATACACTGTTTAAGTTCCTTCGTCCTTCTAGCATTGTACACAGTTGTAAGTTGAAATATTTGTAATACTACACGAGGGGGACCCAAAAGTAACCGGATATTTTATTCATTTATTATTGCATGTTTATATTCTTATCACCTTCAAAGTATTCTCCATCTGAAGCAATGCACCGGCCCAGACGTGGTTTCCAGTGTGCAAAGCAGTCCTGGAACTCTTGTGAAGTTATGTTTTTTAATGACTCCGTCGTTTTCCTCTTAACTGCTTCCGCATCTGCAAAACGTTATCTTTTGAGGACTTTCTACATTCTGGGGAATAAAAGAAAATCGCAGGGGGGCGAGATCGGGTGAATAGGGAGGGTGGGGAAGTGGAGTCATGCCATTCTGGGTCACAAACTGTCTCACAGTCAAGGCGGTGTGCGCTGGTGCATTGTCGTGATGCAAGCACCACCCTCCATTTTGCCACAGGTCAGGGCGTTTTCGTCTCACCTTGTCTGGCAAACGCTTCAGGACTTCCAAGTAAAAAGTCTGGTTAACGGTTTGACCAGGAGGAACAAATTCTTTGTGCAAAATTCCGTTCACATCAAAGAAACAAATCAGCATCGTCTTGACATTGAACTTCATTGACGCGCTTTTTGGGGTTGTAGTGACGTTGGATGCTTCCACGGACATGATTGCTGCTTCGTTTCCGGGTCGTAGCCATAGCATCAGCTCTCGTCACCAGTGATGACCTTCGAAAGAAGGCCTGGATCAACTTCCAACTGCTCTTTCAGTTTATCACAGACATCCTTTCAGCCATGGTAAAAATAGACGAAAAGGCGTGAATCACTTCAAAATAAATAGGAACTCCGGAGCTGTACATCTTCCCACGATGACACCAGTTAGCACACTGATGCATGAGGGTTGCCTCAAGTGGCATCTAGCGGTGGAAGCCTGAACTACTACGGGCTTGTCACACAGAAAACGATTCTGGTTACTTTTGGGTCCCCCCCCCTCGTATATTTTCTCCGTTATATTATTCATGTTTCCTGTTTTAATATTGTAAAGAGCTAAGGAAAAGAAATTGTGGAGAGCCATGATAGCCAACGTTCTGAAGGGACACGGTAAAAAGAATACCTCGCTCTGGAGAATTAATGTCCTCAAAGATAAGAAGAAAGGCCAATCGCTCGATGGTAATAAACTGAGGTCTTTTAGCTTGCTCTCTTTTTATCATGCTGAAAAAGATATAACCCTCACCCATGAGAAATGAACTTGGGTTTACATGTTTAAAAGTAAAAACAAAGAAATAAGCGAAAACTACCAAGTCACTTTCAAGCCATACGAGAAAAGCCGAAGTGTATAACTTGGTAGATGAATAATTTAATTTGGTTTATCTTGTTTTACAGCATATCAACCTCAATGAGTTATTTAAGTTTTTTTTTATTGCTGGTAATATTTTGTTTTGTCAAAAATCTGTTTCTGGTAATATTTTTCCTTCAAAAGTATATTGCTGGTAATAATGTTTTCAAAAAAGTATTGCTGGTAATAGTTAACTATTTGCCCATAGCTGGGACCCTAACAGGTGCTACCACCCCGGATCAGAGTGGACCTTGGAACACCATCAATTAAGAGGTAGTTCCACGTTCCTCAAAACCTTCTGATCAGAGGGCTTGCTGCTGGACGTAGTTTATCGTCTTACCCAGGATGCGGATGTAGTTTATCGTATTACCCAGGAGGCGGATGTAGTTTATCGTCTTACCCAGGACGCAGGTGTAGTTTAACGTCTTACCCAGGAAGCGGATATAGTTTAACGTCTTACCCAGGACGCAGATGCAGTTTAACGTCTTACCCAGGACGCGAATATAGTTTAACGTCTTATCCAGGAAGTGGATGTAGTTTAACGTCTTACCCTGGACGCGCATGCAGTTTATCGTCTTACTCAAGACGCGGATGTCGTTTAATGTCTTACCCAGGACGGGTAGATTAATAAAATAGATTATAACTAGTACACAACAACGCAAAGAAAATACTATCATACCCTTTCTGGTGGGTTCGTTTTCCGTGGCTTAACTTGCTATCGCTCTGAAATAAATATCTTTGACTAAATAGGTTTTCTAATTGTTACAATTCATCTCTTTTTTGTTAGTTGTTGTTGTAAATATGGTATTGTGCTTTATTTAGAAATTACTTCTAATCCTTTGTATTTTATAGGTAAAGGAAACACGATGTTAGATAAGCCAATGTTTTTATTTTTGTAAATAATCACAACACCTCATTTCAGAATTATAGACAGATCCTGAAGACGGCCGATGTGTATAGTGGCCAAAACGTCGTGAATATGGAAATAAAGAATAGGACAACAGTCCGAACAATATAAATAATGTAAAAATTACAATACCTCATCTCAGAAATATAGACAGATCCTGAAGAAGGCCGTAATGTAAAATAGCCGAAACATCGTGAATATGACAACAAAGATGAGAACAGCAGCTCGAACAATGTAAATAATGTAAACAATTAAAATAGCTCATCTCAGTAATATAGACAAAAACTTACAGTAGATTACAATATTCGCGAAAAACAAATTCTTTAAATGATTTTCTGAATTCCTCATATCAGACAAGAGGATTTTTAACATATTACATATTACACTAATCTTTAGAAAGATTAAATATATTTTGATTGGCACAGTAATAGAATTATTTCAAAATGAGAAAGAGAAGATACCAAACTTCTGCAAGCTGTTATTAAACAATAAAGATACACTAGTGACTATTAGCATACTGACTGAAAGTAGAAATAATCAATTTTTACCTTAGTGTTTTTTAAATTTTGTGAAATAATTTTATTTCTCTAGTGAAAGCTGAAAAATACACGTTACCTGAATATTGCCGTGTTAAGAATGCCTTGATCTCTAAACAACATTTGGAAAAAAATTAAAAAACAATTACATTTTCATAGCGGGACTAATAATTTTGTCCTCAACTATATAATTTACCACCTACAATAAAAATAAAGGTGATAGAATTTCAAATAACAGATATATCCTAATTACATCTAAGCAATGAATGCAGCATCAAAGCTAAAATCGTACTGGCGTCAAGTACGGCACATAACAGCGACTTCTTTATAGAAACACTATATGATAATTAGCGTTGTGTATTTATTTATTTCGTGTCACGTAGGAAGTGAGTTAACTTAAGGTAGTAAATTTATTAGTGGTTAATTTCCTTACCGTTACGTTTGTTCATAGACGTGTTATTTGGCTCTCAGTAGAACTAAAAATAATAATAATAAAAAAACCCTAAATAAGCATCGGAAGTAAAACACCCAAGGTTTTTTTTTTGGTGGTGGGGGGGTTGTTTAACGGTATATCAACTTCTTATGGGTTATTTATTGCTTTTTTTTCAATAAAATGTATTGCTGTTTTTTTTCCAATAATGAATAGCGACTAAGTTTCAATTTTGATTTTATTTACTATTAAAATGCATTTCTAGTATATTTTTTTCTAATTTAATTTCATACTTTCACGTTTTGACTCCAGTTAGGAGTTTAACAATTTGCCCATAGCTGGGTCCATCCTGTGAGTTTACTTAACTTAAGGTAGTAAATTTATGAGTGGTTAATTTTCTCGGCCATTTTAATAATCGTAAGCACTATATAATAATTTGCGTTGTGTATTTATTTATTTATATCTTTCGTGTCAAATTCTATATAATTCTATTTTTAAATCGCAAGGACAATCATGTTATCTTGTTGGTGACTATCTACCTACCCTAACATTTGTGCATTGGCAGCTGTACGTGGTGCTCAGTAGAACTAAAAATAAAAACAGCATCAAAATAGGCATCAGAAATAAAGATAGCCAAGGCAATCTTCTTAAATCGATTTCGCAAGAAATGTAGCAATAATGGAATTTCCTCTGCAACGTCTGTTTAATTAAATAGTTCTGCAAGAACTTCTGAGATCTGCAACGAATGGACTGATGTTCTATTTTAGACGTTTGATATTACAAGTAAAGACAGCCGCGATAACAATTTAACAATATCTCTCCTATCCTGTCATGAAATCCATTCTTTTTTTAATCAATTCACCCAAAGAAAGATGATAATGCCATAAAGGTGTAAGGGGGATTTTATGTGTGAAAAAGAATGGGAAGACATTAGAAGCACCGGAAATGCTATCCTAAACAGGAAACAAGCGATAAATCAGTGCTAGTATAAAATGATATCTACCGAGGCATTTGCAATCTAGCGTAAATGACGATGCACTCATTATTGCTGGAAAATGCTCAGGAAAGATGAGAGCCTATTTATTTATTTTTTTAAATAACATCGAATCAGTTTACAAATATTAAAATCACTAACTGATGATTTTTATTTATTTTGTATAAATTTTTTTTAATGATTTTAATACAAAACCAGTTCACTGTTCACTGCCTTTAACCCGAACCGCTAACCCTAACCGTAACAGATATTATACATCCAAAAGTTGGTAAGTATCCTACCAAAGTAGAAATTGAATAGTAGATATTATACTCTAGTAGAAAATGGATGGTGGATAACATACTAAAGTAGGACCGATAAAACTCTTTTCCTGGTTACTAAAAACCCTGTTAAATTAGTTTTCTTGTACTTGTTCGATTCTGTTTGTGTGGATTACTTAAATGTACTAGTTTAGTTGTTTTCCTATCTTTAGTAATTTTTTAATAACAATGTTCAGCCAATACAAGCTCAGACGCCCCTTAAGGCATAACTTTACTGTGTGATGTTGTATGAAAGTAAGAAAAAGGCCGAAAAGTTAAGGTCAGTTATGTGTTTAAGATTATGGTTAGCCCTTGACATGGGGAGTTTAAGATTGTTGTTAACAGAAAAACATCCTTCCGTTAGTCTGTCTCACAAAGCAGCAGTTCTTGAGTAGAAGATGTCCGGCTGGAACTTATTTTCTTACTATAGAAATACGAAAGGAAAAGATAACGATTACCGGTAGACTTGAAGAGGTCAAAATTGTCGTGATGGGAAAACACCCCACCGGGAGTCTGTTTCATAAAGCAGCAGTTCTCTTAAAGAAACTGTCCGGTGTTTTTTTTTTTTTTCTGTTTTTTGATCTCTCTTCAGATTTTCGCCTTTGTATTTTTATATCGCTCAATAGCTTTAGTACATTCCCACTTCTTTAATCTCTTTGGATCAAATAATTTACGGGTAAACGAGAATTCCGGAGTACAGAGTACAGAGTTAATACCTAAAAACCCTACGAAAAAATGATTAACCAACTAAGTTAGATGTAAGCTAAATTAGAAAAATAAGGTCAGAGGGTGGAGGTAAGTGGGGTATTAATTTATGTCAAAGACAAACTGACGCTCTAGGCATGTCAGCGACAAATGTATTATGCATTTCTCTATGTATTATGTATTTTTCTATTTTAGCTTAAATTTGACTTTTAATTGGTTAATCTAGACATACCTTAAAGTATATCTTAACTCTGACCTTATGCCCCCTTTTTAACTTCCAAAAAGAGGTAACGATTTGTTTTCAAATTTCCCTAATAAATCATTTTTATCACAAGTTTACTTACCATCGCCTGAAGAAGAACTATATCAGTTCTGAAACATGAAAGTTTTTGTGTAGTGATGTAAAATATTTTTATTGCAATCTGTTATAATAAAAATATTACAATAATATTTTGCTCCACTTTGTATTGAGCATTTTTAAAAAAGTAAATGATACGAA